AATGAAGCCTCTGACCCAAAAGCACGATCTTATATTGAATTTATGCCATTCCTAACTATTTTTCAAATCTATTCTCAAAAGCTGCTGATAAGAATCCTCACCTCCCCAAGTCAGTTCCCCATAGCACTCAGCTAGCTCAAAGTGCTGAAAATTTCTTTCACTGTAACCTAGATCTCCCTTGCTGTTATTTTAGCTTATGACTTCTTGCTCTGCCCCCAGTGGACAAAGGAGAACAAATTGTTCCTTTCCTCCTGGCAGCAGCCTTTTATGTATTTGGAGACTTACCGCATTTTTCCCATCTTGTCTCAAAAGCCTCAGTAAAAATAACAGCTTTAGGACTCTGATATTTTCACCTTTTCCCCAAACGATCCCTTATTTTGTGTGTGTGTGGAGACCAGAACTGGATATACTCTTCTAATAAAGATTCTACATAGCTGAGTAGAGCTCAAGAAGTTTTGTATGTGCTTATAACTTTCTTAACCTGCATGGTCCTGGTGCAGCATTTGCCTTTTCTGCAACAAAAAGCATTACTGTTACCTGTTCAGGTTCTGAACAGCCCCTCCACCTTTCTTGCACAGCCCCTCCATCCTTTCTTGCAGAATGGTCAGTTCCCAGTTGTTCCTGTCTTGCAATTCTGAGGTTGCTCAAGCTGCTGTATTTTTTTCGTAGAGCTGCTATTCTAAACTCTAGTTCTCTGACCACATGCCCATGCTGTCCTTTGACTTGAACGCATGATCAAATACTGTAATTATACTCTTCAGCGCTCATGAGTAACGAGCCCAGAGTAGCTCCCTGCAGTACTGATACCAAGAATATTTTTCTCAACCAGTTTTGCAGCTCCATTAGAATGATATACTCCAGACTAGTCTTCCAGTTTATTATTAGACTACGCTATAAGCCAGTGTCACAAGCCCTACTGGAAAAATACTAATAATAAAAATCAAGATACAACAGATACTGTTCCTCCCTTATCTGCAAGTCCTGTCGCACTGTCAGGAGAGGAAATTAAACTGGCTCAATTCATTCTTGACAAAGCCATACAGGCTCACATTCACCTTCTCATTTCCTTCTAGATGCTTACAAACTGTTTGTTCTTCCTAGGACTAAAAATTCAGCTTACTACACTACTGCCCCTCAGTATAGCTCTGAGTCACTCATCCCCCCACATTCCAGGCCTCACAGGCAAGGGCATTTTGTAAGTTTTACAGAAACCAGACCATCAGACCCCAACAAGCAGACAGCTGCTCCAGGGTAATTAGGAGGAGGGCAGAGAACTGCATTTCTCCCTATGTTACACTGGAGCCAGATAGGAGGAAAGGACCTAGAGCTCCCAAATGACTCATGAAGCAACTCATTAATCCCAGGCCCAAAGAGATATTTTTAAACTCCCAAACGGGTGAGAAACACAGGGAAGGTGCAGCCCTCTCCTCTTCCCTACTTCAGCCTGAAGAAGCCAGAACAGCATTGCCTTTTCTCCCCACAGCGACAGGGCTCTGCCCACTCCCTCACAGCTAGACGTGAGGGAGTCAACAAACAAGGCTAAAATACCTCAGAAGGGGCCCACCTCTTACCTCTTCCCAGGTAAAATTTACTTTTTTATTTTTATTTTTTTCCCAGGCCCTGAGGCTCTCATTCCAGCCCGCACATGCGCGCGCGCGCGCGCGCGCACTCTCGGCCCCCCCGCCCCAGCCGCCTTTGTGCGCGGCGGGCGCCCCGCGCAGG